GGCCAGCGGGCCTGCCTGGCTCCACCTGCCCCGCCCCCCGGGTCTTCTACTCTCCCTGTTCCCACACTGCGCCCCAGGGCTCCCCCCAGCGTCCTGTGCTGCGTGTTCCCTACCCTGCGCCCCTTGCGCTGTTGCCCGGGGGTCTCTGGCTTATCTTCCTCCGCCCCTGGGGGCCCCCTCGCTGTTAAAGTACCCTGCTAATGGCCCTTGCGTTCTGTCTAGCTGGAGGTTCCTGTTGCTCTGCTTGGGCCCAGGTCACATCCGTGTCCTCCTCGGAGCCCCTAGAGCAGCGCTTCCCAAGCTTTTCAGCATCACGCCTCCTTTTTGATTTCTTAAAAAATCGTTGCGTGCCCCCCCCCTCTCCCCCAGCTGGGGCAGCAAAACTTAATGGGGGAGGGGAAGCCAGGATGCCTTGCACCCCTCCCCCCGAATTTCTTCACGCCCCCCAGTTTGGGAACCCATGCCCTAGAGCTACCTGCTGTCCCCCACTGGGCTGTCTTGCCCCCCCCCAAAAGCTCTGTCTGGCATCATCTCTTGGGGGACACCCCATCACGTTCTGACTCCTCTCCCCAATGATTCTGTCTTGGCAGATGGAAGGAGCAGACGGGGCTGCTGTGCCCCCCAGCTTGGCTGATCGCTCCCACCGAAGCAGCATCTCCTCCACCTGTGAGCTACCTGCTGTCCCCCACTGGGCTGTCTTGCCCCCCCCCAAAAGCTCTGTCTGGCATCATCTCTTGGGGGACACCCCATCACGTTCTGACTCCTCTCCCCAATGATTCTGTCTTGGCAGATGGAAGGAGCAGACGGGGCTGCTGTGCCCCCCAGCTTGGCTGATCGCTCCCACCGAAGCAGCATCTCCTCCACCTGTGCACGATGTAGGTGACATTTGGAAAGAAGGGGGTGTTGCTAAAGGAGAGGGGGTTCTGGTGGTTTCAGGGCAGGGATTGCAAGCTAGGATCCTGGGCGTTTTTCCCAGCTCTGGAAGGGAAATGGTCTCGGGGGGGTGGGGGGGCGAGAGGCCCCAAGTCTCCTGGGTTCTGTCTCAGTCTGGGATTGGATTTACTAGAGAGTTGCACACTTCATTGCTTATGTCTGCTGAGCTCTTTACGCACCGCGGGGGCTGCTTGCATCCCTCGTTGTGCTCTCTTCTTCCCCGCATTTCCCTGCCATATCGCCATCCTCTTCTACTTCAAGGACTCCCTGTAACCCCTTCCTCCGTTCTCCCCTGTGCCAGGGGCTGTGTATGGCCCCCATTTTTCCCTTTTCAGTTTTTGTGAATTTTTTTAACCAAATTCTGTAGGGAATTGCCTAAAATATTACTATAAATTTTGGGGCAACTCAGATTGGTGTTACAGACAGAAATGCCATGGAGTTGAGCATAAAGGTTGGTGAAAGCCAACTGTTGGGCCTCTACTGAGCCAGGTGTGTCATAGTTACAGCTGGTCAGAAGGTTTTCCAGGTGTTCTATGTCACCCAAAGATGCAGAGATATCAGAACTAGAACTGGCAGGTTCAACAAACTCCCCAACTCTAAACTCTTTGGGAAAATCAACAATTTTGTGATTAATTAAACAGGCTGTGTCATGTTTCTCAAACCAGAAAGTTCTGGGGGAGTTGTGTGGGTGTTTTTCCCAGCAGATATAGAAAAAAGATTCAAATTGAAACAAAACTGATCTGGACTGAAAATTTGTTAGCTCTTTGATTTGTGACAATGTTTGTATTTGTGACTTTTTATCCTAGTTTGGGAAGGGAATGCTTTTTGGTATCTCAAACTTTTATGAAACAGGAAAACTGTTTTCCTGGAGAGCTTGAGTCATGGCCCTCTGTTCTCCTCTTAGCACTGGATGTTCTGGTATATCTGATTGATGACACTGCAGTGCGGTTGAATGTGGAAAATTTGACATCTGTCACCGTTCATGAGCTACATCGTATTGTCCGGGACGCACTGCAGTTCCCTGAATGTGCCATGGAAGTCTTCTCCCTATGGCTCATCTCTCCTTTGCTTGGTAAGGTGCACCCTGTCCTATCATCTGGTGCCTTTTATGGAGGAGGAGATTAGGGGAAACTTAGGCACAGAAAGGGGAAGAGATTGGTTTTGAGGTCTTGTGTAAAGTAATTGGTGGAGCTAGCAATGGAACCCAGGAATTTCCTGTCCCCTCTGTTCTAATCATTAGGCCACCCACTCCCCTTCCTGAGTATGGAATGGAACCCACCAATGTGGTTCCCAGCTCTGACTGCCAAGCTATAGTCTTTCCTGTTGCTAAGGATAGAACCCAGGAGTGCTGCCTCCCAGCCCAGTGCCCAAACCACTAGATCCTGCTCCCTTCCCAGCATTCTGGGCACAGAACCCAAGAGTACTGACTCCTGGTTCTGTACTGAAACCATTAGCCTGTCCTGTCTTTTCATTTATCTGCTTCTCACTTCACATTGTCTATTTCATACATAGCAAATGGTTGCTGTTTGATTTTCCAGTGTATCCCCTGGCTGTTGTGTGACTAAGCCATTGTTAAAATAAAGAATGAGGAAGCTTCCTGAATCCATAGGTCTGTGTTCCTCCATAGAGGTTTTGAAATATTTTCTGTTCTAAGTTGTTTAGAACAGCTGCATCTGTGTCAAGCGAAGGAACCCTGTATAAACATCACCTCAGAAATGGCTGCATTTCAACTGTGGGCAAAGCAACTTGTAACAAAGTGCTTTTGGAGTGCAGCATGTTGTTTATAGAGGGTCCTGCAGTTGGTACTGCCTCAGGGACTGTTTTTATAGGGATTCCTCACTGAGTATACGATGCTGCAGGGATTCATAGTGATGAACACTAGGAACAGTTCCTCTCTTGCACACTTACTGCACAGTCATTTGCACAGGGTTCCTGGCTTCCCTCAAAGCAAAAGTCCTGCAGTCGGCTGTGCTTTGTGGGTCTGAGCACCCAGCATGAGGGACATTAACAGGAAGTGTTGAATGGCTGGCAGTGGGTCTGTTGATCCTGAGTCTTTCCAGCTGGGAGCATGTTGAGAGCAGAATGGAAACTTCCAAAGAGCATCCAGGCAAAATGAATCATTTCATGGCACTGCTCCAGCTAGCGTAGCTGGTGTCCATGTCTTCTGGATTACATCAGGTCCCTTATCTTTCACCAGCTTCCCATTCTTAGCCCAGCTCTGCTACAGCCTGTCAAATACTCCTCCTCTGTGCTCTCACACTTCCCACAGTCTCCCCAGCCTAATAGTTTTCACTGGCCCTCTCCTGCTAATAGGAGTCCCAGCAATGTCTGAGTGTCTTCAAACAGCTTCTCAGGCTTTTTTACCCAATGCAGTGGTGGTGCTGGGTTTGATGCCCTCCGTGGGAAGGAAGACTGGGAGTCCATGCTCCGGGATTCTCTCCCCAGCTCTGGTAAGGGAGTGGGGTCTAATGGGGAGAGCCTGGAAGCCAGGATTACTCCTGGTACAGGACGTTGAGTATGTTGTTAGGGCTCAGTCTCTGTCCGGGTGCTTGGATGCTGCAGTTCAGGAAGTGGAATATGCTCATGATCAATGAGTTTTGGGCGTGTAGCTTTCTTTCCGCCTGTCCCCCACCACCCTCAGTTAGGAGGAACATCTCCCCCTGTGGCATCCCAACTGCTGCGTGAATTGCCTTTGCAGCTCCTGTTCAGGACCTCAGTGGTCAGGAGTGCAGCTATTACCCCTCCTCTGCCCCCTCCCCCAGGTCCGTGAGGACATTCACAAAGTGGGGCTTTCAGGTTTCCCCTGTCCCACCCCACCTGGTGACTGTCCCCAGGCCTTAGCAGGGATGAATTTAGCAGGGGCTTGTAAGTGGTCTAGGAAGGCTGGTCTTTCTATTACAGTAGTGCCTAGAGCAGCATTTCTCCCAACACTGGTGACCCCTTTCACACAGCAGACCTCTGAGTACGACCCTCCCCGTGCAAATTAAAACACGTTTTTAATATATTTAACACTATTACAAATGCTGGAGGCAAATCGGGGCTTGGGGTGGAGGTTGGCAATTTGAGACTGCTCCATGTAGTGACCTTGTGATCCCCTGAGGGGTCTCGACCCCCAGTTTGAGAACCCCTGGCCTAGAGAACCAGTTGACAACAGGACCTCTTTATGGCGTGTGCATTATTAATAGGGATGTAAATGGTTAACCAGTTAGGTGAAGCTTACCAGTTCCAGTTAACTAGTAGAGGCTGGAGCAGCTCCTCGGCCACACTGGGTAGGAGGCTGCTCCAGTACAGCTGGGCCCACTGCAGGCAGGGGCTGCTCTGGCCAGCCCAGCCGGATCCCCCTCACCACAAGTTCCACACTGGATTCTGGGGAGCCTTCACTGCGGACTCTGCAGTATAAAGCTCATATATTTCTGTGTCTGTGTGTCTCATATATATACACACTGTGTCTCTGTCTCTGTCTCTCCTCGACAAACTATTGAATCTACTCGCCCATGGCGAGTAGATTTCAGTCTGGCACCCCGTTTACCGGTGACGCGTGCATGCACAATGTGGCTCTTGCACACGTGTAGTGTGGGGCTGGCGAGCGGCTGTGTGTGTGTGTGTGTATAAAATGTTCCTGTTGGATGACAGTGATGTCATCACGTCATCTGCATCCTCAGGCTGCTGCTCGCCTCCGTCTTCAGCCTTGGCGCCATCCCCTCCAGGCATGGACTGCTGTAGCTCTGGCTCCTGCTTCATGCCTGGGGGGCAACACCGCTAGGGAGGAGCTGCTGGGGCTGGGTCCTGCCTGACACCTCCACCCTCTGGGCTGCACTGAGTCCTCTCTGCCATCCGAGCCCAACCTCCCCTCCCCCTTCCAGGCCACACTGTGTCCCCTCCACCATCCGAGCCTCGCCCTCCCACCCAGGCTGCGCTGGGTCCCCTCGGCCATCTGAGCCCAACCCCGCCCCACCTCCCAGCCCCCTCGCCTCTTTGCTGACATATTGCACCCCCAGCCCACTCCTCCTCCCTCTCCACTGGCCAGACACCTACCCCCAGCCTGCTGCAGAGCTGATGCTCTGTTTCTCTCTCTGTCACAGAGGTTCAGCTGAAGCCAAAGCACCAGCCATACAAGGTGTGCCGGCAGTGGCAGGAGCTGCTCTTCCGTTTCACTGATTGCCCAGAGGATGAGATCATGCAGGGTATGCGTGTGAGGCTTCCTTGCTCCTTCCGGGCCTGCTGACACCCCCTCCCAACCTTGGAATGCCCCACTCTTACTGTTGAGCTCCTAGTATCTGGCTTAGTTGCGGGGGAAATGGGGGGGTTAAAAAGTGATCCGGGGGTGAGAACTTTAGGAGTTGGGTGTTCCCTCCCCCTCCATCTTGGGACTAGGAGTTGGGTCTGGTGGGTTAGAGTAGCGGGAGAGGTGTCCAGTCAGGGGAGAGAAGGGGAGTCTAGTGGGGTTGGTAGCTAGGATTCTGGGGTTCTCTTACAGCTCTGACCTGTGTCTTTGGCCTGGCTGGCTCCTCAGACAGTTTCTAGGAGGCAGTGGTAAACCAGACTCTTTTGGACCATAAGACAGGACTATGCAGCACTTTAAAGACTGACAAGATGGTTTATTAGGTGATGAGCTTTCGTGGGCCAGACCCAGTTCCCCAGATCATATTGTGGAAGAAAATTGGCATGACCATATATACCAAAGGGATACAATTAAAAAAAGTGAACACCGTGTTCACTTTTTTTGATTATATTCCTTTGGTATATATGGTCATGCCAATTTTCTTCCACAATATGATCTGGGGAACTGGGTCTGGCCCACGAAAGCTCATCACCTAATAAACCATCTTGTCAGTCTTTAAAGTGCTGCATAGTCCTGTCTTATGGTCCAAAAGAGTCTGGTTTACCACTGCCTCCACCATGTACATGTCTTTACTGAGGCCTCTTTCATCTCCCAGATGAGCCATCCTTGCAGTTCAGAAGGAATGTTTTTTTCCCGAAGAGGAGGGAGTTGCAGGTGAGCATGTTGGCTCCTATCTGAGTCTCCTCTCTTGGTGTCACTCACCTCTGTGACCATGTGGCAAGGCCTTTTACATGTTGATTAACTTGCTATTGATTAGTCTGACTATCCAGGGAGTTGAGAGCGTAAACCCATTGCAAGCCCACAAGAAATGGGGTCCTAGGGAAATCCCAGCCTAGTCATTCACAATTTCTGTTGCAGTAGCTCTGCCTGGGTATCCCTCCCTGGCAGCCCAGATCAGGGTCCCCATTGTACCACCCGCACAGACCATCCACTCTCTGAGGTGAGAGAGAGTCCCTGCATAGAAGATCTTAAAGGCTAGTGAGATGGATTGTTCTTGCTGTTATACAGATAGGGAAACTGAGGCACAGAGAGGGGCTGTGACTTGCCAAAGGTCACACCTGGGAGGCAGAACCAGAAACAGAACCCAGATGTCCTGTGTCCCAGTGTCAGTTCCTAACTAAGATCCTTCCTCTATTAAAAAGTCTGCTCTGTCTCACTAGGCCATTGTAAAATCTTGCTATGACCAACCTGGTGTTCTGGACTTCATGTTAAACCATCAGCTCAGTCCCTCTGCCTCCTGCTCTGATTCCTTAGGCCTTGTCTGCATGAGGAAAGTCACGCTGATTAACCACAGATTTGAGATATGGATCCATCTCCTCTGGAGAGGTTCTGAATTGGGTTCCCCAGTGCCATTCAGCGAGAGATCAAGCAGCTCGGTCTGTTGGTTTTTATTGCAAAGCAGATTGAGAAGGCATGTGTTGGTTGAAGATACCTGCATGGGGAGAAAATGCCCCATGCCAAAACGATGGAACAAGCCAGGACAGCTCCAGCAAAATGCCACTGTGGAAACCAAAACTTTGCAGGAATGATTTTGATGCCTGTAGCAGGGAAAACTGCTTCAAGCCCAAGAGGGCCACTGAGAGACAGGTCAATAGTGCAGTGCTGAGGTGGTGGTCTTGGATGTGATAGTAAGGACTTGAACCTGGGTTCATGTCAGATTTCGGTTGGGAGCAGAACTTTAGACTCCCACATTCTAGGCAAGTGTTTCTCTACCCCGTGGGAGTTGGGCTGGGGGTTGTTTTCCAAGAGAAATTTGGAAAGGTTTTGTTTTCGTTCTCCCATCGGCACAGAAGCAAATGTTCAAACTTGAGGTTTTTTTCACGCAGTGAAATTGATTCCTCTTCCGCCTCTCTCTACCAGGTCAAGAACCCTGTAGTGGAACTGGCTGGGAAACAATCAGACACATTCAAACTAGAAATAAGGCATCAGTTTTTAATGGTGCAGATGATTAACAGCTGCAACAAACTCACTGGGCCATGGTGGAGTCTCTTCCTTTGGATCCTTCACCTCCAGGCTAGGAGAGATGGATCAGGACGTGGCTCTATACAGGGGTAGCTGAGGGAAATGTAATGGCCTGTGTCAGATAGGAAACCAGTTTAGATAATCAACTGAGCCTTTTTGGCCTTAAAAGTGCTCTCCCAGGCAGCTCAGCATGAGCCAGAGCTGGAACTGGAGCCAGGGTCTGTCCTTTACTTTATCTTGCCCTTTGGTCCACAGATTGAAAACGAGGCTGTCCTGCGGCTGCTCTACGAAGAGGCCAAATTCAATATTCTGGAGGGACGCTACCCGTGTGACGCGGAGGACTGTGAGCAGCTGGGGGCTCTGGTCTGCAGGCTGCAACTGGGTCCCTATGACCAGGACCAGCACACGGCCTGTGCCTTGAAGTGAGAGCAGTGGGGAGTGTTGCAGAGGATAAGGGGGCATGGTCTAGAGCAGGGGGGTTGTTCCCCTAAAGGACGTCAGCCTTTTAACTGTGGGCTGGGGTATAAACTCAGGGCTATGTCCTTCCCCTTTGATGCCTGGTTGATCTCCCACTGGTGTTAGTGTGGGTCTGGCCTGGGAACAGTCTTTATGCAGTTACTAGGGGGCTGTATGCTTAGTAGCTTGCATAGGCCAAGCACATTCCACAAGCCAGGAGCTCTGTCCATCCCGCCACAGCTGCATATGTGCCACCTTCCCAGACCCGTCCTTCTCAGGGACTCCTTGCAACCCGCCCTCAATCACCTCCCTGCCGGGGGTTCTGTATGCCATGCACTCCCCCTGCCACACATCAGTGTCCCCCATTCTCCTCCCTGTGCCATGGGTTGTGTGCATGCTCCCATTCCACACCCACTTCTTTCTGTCTGGGCAATCGGTCATTCAGGGTGTGCACGTGTCACTCTTGAGAAGAGAGAAGCAGGTGTGGTGGTGTCCTGCTGGAGGCATGAATAATGCCAACAGCTAACTCTTTTATTTGTACACAACTGCACAAGTGCTTGAAACTGGATGTGACACTCACATGGCAGATGCTCCATGAGTTCCTCATATTTTCCCCTTGTGGTTTTCCACTTCCCCAAAATCCATTGGATTTTGACCATTGATGCCTAGAAGGTGCTCTGAAGTTCTAGCAGCGATCAGTTGCAGCAGCCTGTTGTTGCATCTCTACAGAGAAGTACCTTTGAATTAGCTGCACTTCTGTTGCTGTATTCAATATTGGCCCAGGAGCAAAGCTGTAGGCTGACTTTTGCTTTTCCACTTCAGTTCTAGATTCTCCCCTCTTCCTTTGTCTTTCTCTCCATGTTTCTTCTCTCTGCTCACCCTCTCCTACAACAGTTGCTCCCCACTCCCTCTGCTAAAAAGATCAGCTATGGAGTATTCATGTCACCTGAAACACAACCTCCAGGGAGAGTTGGGTGTGTCATGAAGAGTAGACCCCTTAGTGGCTTGCTGGAAACTCAGACGTGTCAGTTATATTTAGGGCAGATTTGCCCCCCTTCCAAAGCAATTGGTTCAGGCTGCCTGCAAACTCAGGC